AAAGCCTAAGAGTCTTGTTTTGACACTGGATGATCTATTGGGAAGTAGAGGAATCCATTGTTCGCTATTGCCAGCAAAAGAAATTCAGTAAGGAAATGTCTGCTCTTTCATCTGGGAAAGTCACAGTGAATCGGCAAAGTTCTATTTATCGGTTGGATCCATTTTTGGATGATGGACTGTTAAGAGCTGGAGGAAGACTGAGTAAAGCAGCCATGCCTGAAGAGGTCAAGCATCCGCTTATACTCGGCAAAGATCAGCATATTTCTATGCTTATTCTGAAGCATGTGCATGAAAGTCTGGGTCATGGTGGACGAAGCCACATGTTATCCACAGTTAGGAGGAAATTTTGGATTACTAACTTCCACTCAGCTGTCAGGAAAATCATTTCTGGGTGTGGCTTTTGTAGACGCCATAATAGAAGAGCAGCTGAACAAAAAATGGCAGATCTTCCAAAGGAGAGGATCCTTTCCGATCTACCACCATTTACCAACACTGGAGTAGATTACTTCGGACCAGTGGAAGTAAAGAATAGAAGAGAAACTTGTAAAAGATATGGAGTAGTATTCACCTGTATGGCAAGCATGGCAATTCATCTTGAGGTAGCAAGTTCACTGGAAACGGATGCATGAATTAATGCGTTACGACATTTCATTAGCAGAAGAGGACAAGTGATACATCTAAGATCGGATAATGGTACTAACTTTATTGGAGCACAAAGAGAACTGAAGGAGGCTCTTGCTACATTGAATCATGATAAAATTCAAGGAGTGTTGTCACAGGTTGGAGCTTTAATCCACCAGCAGGTTCACTCCATGGTAGTATATGGGAAAGAATTATACGTTCTGTAAAAAAGGTTCTCAGCTCTGTTTTACATCAACAAAGGTTAGATGATGATGGACTTCACACAGTTTTCTGTGAAGTGGAATCCATTTTGAATGATCGACCAGTTACCAAGCTATCAGACGATCCTAATGATCTGGAGCCTCTCACACCTAATCATCTTCTTCTCTTGAAAGGGAAACCAGCTTTACCACCTGGTGTGTTTGAACCTCATGACCAGTATACAAGACGACGATGGACACAGGTGCAATAGCTTTCAGATCTGTTCTGGAAAAGATGGCTATGGGAATACCTGCCTTTGCTTCAAGAGAGGCAAAAGATGAATCAGAAGAAAAGGAGTTTGGTTGCTGGAGACATTGTAGTAAT